GACAAAAAGGGCCGAAGCAGTGCTGGCAGATGATGAATCGGTGTCATATATATATAAATATATAATATATATACTATATTCTTGGGTGTCTGGTCTTACCCAGACACGACCTGAGTCTGGGACTGCCATATATATGCCTACTACATTGGGGTCAGACAACAGGGGGTGGCAGTCCCCAGGTCCGGTCTGGTCGTCACACCGACCTCTGGGGCCGAGAATCGGTCGGGCTCGTCCAAGGGGCCCTGAGTTCCACTTCCATGAGTATTTCAGGGATGGTTGTTGTTTGGTGTTTGGTGTTGTTTGCTTGCTTGGTTGGGTTGTGGTTGTGGTTGTGGTTGTCGTTGTTGTTGTCGTTGTCGTTGTCGTGGTCGTTGTGGTCGTCGTGGTTGTTGTTGTTGTCGTTGGTGGAGACAAAAGCAGCTGCCCAACATAGTTGTCACATGTTGCAAGTCAGGGATGTCAAAGGGACACTGTTAGGGATAGGGTCGAAGGTTTGGAGAGATGTTAGTAGCTGGACTTCTTGTCGTTGTGGTACTCAAGTCTTGGTTGGTCTGTTTCTTGTTTTTTGATGTCTTTTGGGGTGTGGTTCTGGAGGGGGGGTCAAAAAACAACAACGGGGCTGCAGATTTTGTTTCTAGAGGGGGGTAGAGACAACAACATCTTTTGAGGGTGGGGTCAAAAAAACAACGGGCTGTAGTTTTTGTTTGTACATTGTTGTTGTTGTTGTTGTTCTTGTTCTTGTTCTTGTTCTTGTTGTTGCTTCCCTGGTTGAATCAACGAAAGTAGGAAGTGGATCGAATTGGAAGTAGTAACATCCCTTTTGATTCCTTCCTTGGCCACATGTCCTGTGGACTCATGTGGACCACAAACTTCACACTTTGGCAGCTGCAACATCTCACATGACATCCCCAAGCCCGCGGAAGCTATCAACAACCCAAGCAATCATCCAACAAAGCAAGAACCGTGTGAGGACAAGTCCGTTTGTTTGACTATCTCCATTTTGGCAAGCTTTGTGGTGGATTTGGTCGCTTGGTCTTGGAACGAGTTGAGCTCGGCTGAACAGGCTGCAATTTGGACGAGTAGAGCTAGGTCACAACACATATCGCCTTCTGGATCATGTTTCACTACCCAATCTTCAAGGATTGGATTCCCATGAAAAAGTAGATGTCGTTATCGTTATGTCAGTACTCGTGGGCAGAGGGTGGACGCAACTTCAATCAGGGCTGGCCTTCCCTGGTTTTTTTTCCTGTTTGGGCAGGCATAGAACCGGCGTTTTCCACCCAAGGTGTTTGTTGTTCTAACCGTAGGACTAAGGAATATGTCTTTTCAAGGGTGAATCTCGAGTGACTATGGGCATAGTATGTCTTAAGTGCTTCCCCTCTTTGCTTCAACTCCCGTGCCGCCCAGACCGAGCGCCGCATGGACCCGGGTCCGATCCAACGTCGGTCCGTTCGAACCTTCAAAGCACCCGGGGCCAGAGACGCCCAAACCCGAGACAAGATCCATAGGCCGCTTTGATGGGATCGAAGCGATCTTCCTTGCCCGCTTGGTTCTTTCATGTTTTTTTCTCTTTGTCCTGGTGAGACATGCGTGGCCAAAGAAAAGGACGCGAAGGAAGCGGAGGCCTCCCTCCCAGCACCCGGGGGAATCGAACCTTAGACCGGAAAAGGCCGGCCTCCCTCGGTGTGGGATGCAAGGTCCTGGGAATCGTGCGGCTGATGGATGTGATGCTTGGGTGATTTTCGTGGTTCGAGCGGATTGACGACGGTTTTCTCGAAGTGATGACAGGAGCATTAGGAGGTTTGTTCCGAACGGACCGGGCCCTTTCAGAGGTGCCATGTTGAAAGGAAGTGACACAGGAACTGACCGAGTTTCCCACATCGGATTGACAGTTCGTTTCTAGAAGCCTTTAAAACCAAGAATGCCAGGAATGCTTTTGGATACCCATTGGTTTCACCCTTTCTAGTAATCTACTACTTGTCCATTGCGGTGCAAGAACAATTCAATAGAACTCCGCACCTTCCTCCAAATTCACATGCCGCACCCACGTAACAGTGCGCTTTTTGTTGTCAGTTGCCATGGTTCTGCAAGCAAGAAGACCTTTCGTTTCTTCGCTCTCTCTCTCTCTCTCTATCTCGCTCTTTCATGCTCTTTCTCTTTCTTTTTTGCTTTTTGTAATTTTGTCAACCGAGGATAAGTCTTACAGGTGATCCTCATGACCCCGGGATTCTGGAAGTGATCGGCCAAGCCTTGTGCTTCTCGAACAATAGCTCTGTCCTCACCATCCTTGGCCTTCTCGCTGATCACAGGCCACTTGGCATTTTTCCGAGCGTCCGCGAAAAGGGTGGAAGCAAAGAATAAGGATTTGTTGAGGTCCTTGTTGGATGCAATTGACATGGCAAACAAACACATGTTGACGTGCAGAACTTCAAGCGGAATGCACTGGCATGTTTGGAGTTATGCCTGCCTTGTGAGAGTGTTCATCAATGTCGATATGCCATGCCCTTCAGAAGTCTCTCAACCAGCAAACCCAACTTCAAGGCTGGCTAGCTAGCTTTATGTTTGACTTCCACCTACTGTCATGCTTGAGGTTAGCCTGGGCAATCGCTCAACTGGCTCTGAGTGGCCTGAGCTTTCTTTTGGCCTGCTACACCGCCTGTCGGAAGGATCCCACCGCGCCGGTGCAACTCACAGCGGTCGTCGAATTTGCCACAGAAGCTTCCCCACCGCCGGTGTCCGCCGCGCCAGTGCCCGCGCCGAGCGCGGAGCCGCCGCCCGAGGCGGCGGAGGCTTCGGGTGCTGACGCGCCGCCACCGGCCACCGCTGCGGCAGCTGCGGTTGCGGTGGCTCATGGGGGCACACCGATGGAGCCAATGTGGCGGAGGAGTTTGAGGTGCATGCGTGGTGTCATCACAAATGAGCAGAGGCAAGCATTTCGGGCTCATTGGGATGAACTTCTACTCTTGGGCCTCAGTTTTCTTCTCTTCGTCCTTGGCTTATTCGTTTTCTTTCTGCAGCTCGGCATGCATATATGTTTTGATACAGTTCCCCGATTTGGACTGCCTCCGATGCACGCCAGTTGGTGACCAACAGCCCCATTCGATGCCAAACACGTAAGGAACACCAACCAGATCATCATCATGATCCAGCGCATTGAATTGGCAGCCTTGCAGTCTAAGCCAATGAGTGAGGGCGACCTTTGCTACGTGAGGACGGCTGACACAAATGGAAGATATATTGTCCCAAATGGATGCAGAGTGTAGCACCCAGGAAAAGTATAATCATCTACGTATACTGTACACATGTAATAACATTAACAACAATGTATTTGACTGTTTGGTTCTTACACGTGTTATCTACTGATGTACTCTTAGAACTTTAATGAATTCTATATATCATTTGCGATCTTTACCTGACCCCGTCATTTCCCTGACCGTTTCAGGAACCACAGTGCCCACTATCCTCCCAAATGGAAGCCTTGAGAATGGTCAATCAAACAGTTTGGCTAGTCGGCTAGTCCAGCCAAGTGCTCAAGGTTCAAGTTGTCAGGGTCATTCCCGAGGTTTTCAGGTTTTCCTCATCGCCCTTATCATCCTTATCCTCCGCCCTCCCCATACTCGTGTTCGCTCTCATCGCAATCCTTATACATGCTGTTTGTTCCTCAACCATCCTCCTCTATCCTCATTCTCATCCCTCATCCAGCCTCATGTTCTATAATTCCATATTCCTTATAATGTGCTTTCAACCCACCCATGCTGATGCCCTTGCGCTCCCAGTCAATTGCTTGCCCACCTATAGTCGCCCAGTACAAGAACAGAATAGCATAACATGCATGCTGCATGCATCCTATGCCCTTTCCAGCTGTGTTGGACTTCATGTCCGGTCTATTTCAGGAGCATTGTCTAGCCCGAAAACCCTGAGTCCCCCTGGTCAGGCATCCTGACCTTCCGCAGACCAGCCCAGCTGGAGTGCCATGGTATTCTCATCATGTTCTTCTCCTTATAGCGTTGCCAGCGTGTCTCTTGTTTGAAACAAGGTTTGAGCACGAACCAGTTGCACACATTGCCATGAGATTTCGGCTTGACCTTGAGACTTTGACATTTCAGCTTTCCCGAGAGATCCTTTGATTCTTAACTTTCATCTTTGGCCTCAGTGACTCCTTTTCTTCAGAATCTGCCTCCATGGCTCAGAAGGTCTCAGAATGCGGGAGGCTCTGACAGTACCTGAGCAGCTCTTCAGCTGCTCCGCTGCAGGTTTGATGCTCCTCCTCTTCTCGCGCGCCGCGTGGGTCCTGTCTTTCCGCCGCTCCCTGATCCGGACCATACCGGGAGCTCCAGCGGATCAGGATGTATGGAGGGCGGTGGTGAACCATCAGGTGGCACGGTGAGACCAAAAAGGAATGCTGGCACATCCAGCCTTCGGAGGTAGGCCCAGGAGAAGAGAGCCAGTCAAGATGAGTGAGTTTTCGAGGTAGGACTGGGTCTCCTTTTGTCTTCCTTCGAGGATGTGGATGTGTGTGTTTTTTCTCCCTGAAGGTCGCAATTCATCAACTTCCCTCATTGATTGTCCATATCGCATTTATTTCATTGCAGGTCTATATATGATTAATTTGCAATTTGCATTGATGTGTCTCAAATTGAAGCCATTAGAACCCTTCTATTTTTGATGGTAGAGATCCACACTGAGCACCCCAGGGCCCCAGGACGTTTGATGGAAAGGAACTGAAGCAACACTGACCTTGAGGTGACTCGGTCCATCGAGTCCTCAATGAGGGAAGAGCAGAATGCGGGCGCGGCGGCTGCGGCCGCGGCCGTGGCCTCGCAGGCGGTGGCCGACAGACAGGCGGCGCGGCGACGGGAGGCCGCCAGCGATATGATCTTGGAGGTGCCTGATAGCTCAAGTCCCAGTTCCTTGGCCGGGAGGGCTTGAGAGATAGTTTGAGAGATCTACACAGATCTAGACTCGCATGACATGCTGACAGGCTCTAAGCTGTTGGAATTGGATCGTCATGGAGGGATGTCATCCAGCCAATTGGAACTACTTGTATGATTACGTCACTTTTCCCATGCCTTGTGCTTGACGTAGGCTGTGTGCATGCAAGAATGAGTCCCAAGTTTTGTGTGCTGTGTTTTTCCCATGGGGATTCGATTGGTCTAGATATGTCAAGCATTCTCTTGCCCAGACATCTCCCCCTTTCACGCATTTTCACGCCCATTCATGTAGAAAGGCATCCATATCATCCATGTGATTTCTTTCACCAAGCCTCTCAGTCTTTGCAGTCCTTGGCTGTCGCTGCAGTGTGCCACCTCCGAGGTGGTCGCCCGGCGGTGCATGTCCAACTGCTGCGCATGCAAGCGAACCCTGGGCCCGCAATGGCCCCCATGCAGCCTGGCATGAGGCCCATGGAGCCTGGCATGAGGCCCATGGATCCTGGCATGAGCCCCATGGATCCTGGCATGAGCCCCATGCAGCTTGGCATGAGCCCCATGCAGCTTGGCATGAGCCCCATGCAGCCTGGCATGAGCCATTGGGGCATGCCTGGACCACCACCACGACGGTGGTAGACAGATCCATGAAGTTCAGTCCCACAAGCCTTGATGATTTTATATGATCAATTGTCTTTGCATATTTTACAGAAAAAGGGTCCTCCCAGAAATGGAATTCCAGTTAAGAATACGGAAGAACAAGCCGGGGCGAAGCCAGGTCAAACGACCTGGCCGAGGTCTAAGACCTCACGGATTCTTCGCACCTGCCGTTTGGCTCACCTGCCGTTCCGACGGCTTTGTCTCAGCAGGAGGGGGACGATCTATGCCCAGCAGGGCCGTATCCAGACACGACCAATGCGACCATATTTACACCCTGGAAGACTCTCATGGACCCTGAAAACCACTGGTTGGTAGAGGAAAATAGTCTTCCATGGGGCCATTGTCAGGGTCTATGTGAGTTTTTGAGACCATATTGAATCATACAGGTGGCTGACCCGGGGTCAATCTAGGCATATCTTCCCAGTCGCATCGAGTCTTTGGGGTATCGGAGCCCGCCTGGAGCCTGCCTAGAGCCTTCTGATTCTGAGACTCCTGAGGTGGGGAATCTATAGCCCTCCTTTTGAGACAAAGCCAAGTGGTAGGTCAAATTAAATTAAGATGTGCATGTGAACAGCCAGTCCGTGATGCTGGGCTGACTCACCCGACTTCCGGAGAAGTCAGGCGTAGAGTCCCGACCTGACGGTACCAACGAGCGGCAACGCAGCAACGTTGGTTCTTGGACTACACTGATTTGATGATTGTCAGGCTGAACATGAGTTGTGGTGGAGTTTCATGGTTGTTTTCTTTCTTTTCCTTGAATGTGATTCTCTCATATTCTCTCCATCTTGATGATGCAACCTGTAACAGCAGCTGGTTTGTGGAGGCACTGCCGAACGGTAGGGCACCCTCCCCGCAACGAACCGTTGCAGCTCCGTGGAAGACAAAAGGTGTTGCAGAGCTCCGGTCGTACCTCCTCAGGTTCGGTCTGACTGGAGCCTACCGGGCCCCCAGTCCCAGTTGCTCAGGTTCGGTACGACTGGAGCCCTAGGGATCTCACTTCGAAGATTCGTACCTTCCGCGGCGAATTCAGGGCACCTTCCACCGGCACCTCCCACCCCCGGAGCGGGCGTCGTGCCGAGTCCCGCCAGGTGGTCGTGGAGCGGACCCTGGGTTCTCGTGGTAGTAATATGTAGTCATGGTATATGCTTGACCGGTATATGGTATATGGTAGGTATTGGATGCTAGTAGATATTGGCATATGGTGCTACATGCATATGCTTGATGACCGGTGACCCATTTCAATCCAGTTTCGGTACCACGACGGTGGACCGAACGTGTTCGCCAGGCCCAAGCCGACACTCGCCTGAAAGCCGACCCGGTGAGGTGGGGACCTGGCGGGTTGTGGACGTTTCGGCCGGCCTGTGACTGAAGTGAGTTCGATGGGGCTAGATATGAGGCCTACTCTAGCTATGAGGCCTACTATAACTTGGTATAATCCAATATGGCTAGGGGATGATTTCGGACAGCCACTTTTGAAACATTTCCACTTGTTAGCATTAACACATACATATAATAGTTTTCTTGGTCTTCCCAAGGCAGTGTTCCAATGCTTGCTCTTCCTGCACCTGTTCCTCCTGCAGCAGATATGTCCATTGATGAGCACCAGGGCAATGGAGGTAATGGTTCTGATTCTACTTCTTCGGATTCATCATCGTCTTCTACATCAGATGAACAGGAGGCAACGCCAATGTCAACATCTGCACCCAAGGTTCCTTTGACCCAAGACGAACGCGTACTTCTTGAAGAATTGCTTGAAGCAGTCCATGTGCATCAAGACATTGAAGAAAAAAACGATCGTCTCCGGCATGAAAATGAACTTCTCAAGCAGGAACTTGCCCAACTGAAGCGCGCGCACTTCTTGTAGTTAGGAACTACTGTCTGACTGTCTGAGAAAATTAGTCAAAGCGCGCGCGGCCGAAACCATCACGGAACCTATAATATATATATATATATATAGCTGGGCAGCAGCTAATCATATCAGTTCCCAAATCCAGGGCACTGGAAAAATCGCGCTTCGTTTCGGAACGATCCAAAGTTGAGATAGGTGAGCACCCAAGAAGCATCAGATCGTTGTTCATCGTGTTTCCACGTGTGGCATTTTGCCTCTCAAGATGCTTGATCATGCCAGATCGAGGTTTTTCCTGAACCAGCGGTTGCAAACCCCAAAGATGGTTTTGAAGGTTGAATGAAAGCGGGGGCCTCCCATCATTCCTACCTGCAACGTGATCATCAAACCTCACCGAGAACCTCACACCGAGAGGCCGCCGCTCGAAGACGTGCACCGCTGTCGTTCTGGCGCGCGATGTTTCGACGGCGTTCGCTGGATCAAGATGAAAAAAGTTTATTTGCAGATTGATGTGTTGAAGAGATATACCTGTCACAGGTTTCTTGACACAAACTTGGAACACTCGAAGACCATTTTTTGTCGCAAGACCCCATTTTCCCAATGGCCAGCATACTGCTGTAAGTGTCTCATGGTTTCTCACACTTTTGAGGATTAGAAGTAGTAACATGTCAATGTAACAACATGTCAAAACATGTAATTACAACATCAACAAAACAAAACAACAACTATAGCCTCTAGCGTTCCTTACATGAGTTGTTTTAAACTGTTCGATGTCAACGGCACCACCGTCCGATGGTCGCCATGGCCACCGTCCGATTCACACCCCACGAACGGGGCGTCCGGCTTCTCGTGGTAGCCTCGGTGCTGGCCATCAGCACCTTGCAGGGCTCTTGGGAAAGCAATGGGCGTTTGAAGAACATCTCCCGCAGGTTCGGACTACTGCAGGCCCCGGGTCCCTACTTTTGTATAGAACGTTTGTATTAAAAACAGAGAGAGGGCATTGCCATGGGGATAGCAACATCCATGTTTGGACATTTCTGAGCAATTACATGCAATTACATGTATGAACATCGTCAAACAATGTTTGACGCACTGTCATTCCACCTGGAGTCTATGGATGTATATAATTGGCTTCAACCTCAAGTAACATCCAAGCTCAAGTGACTCAAGTGTATCTCAACCTCAATCAAGACAAGTATATCAGGTCCATTCAGGTCCCAAGTGAATTGAAGTGAATTGCAATAATTGTATCTAGATTCTACCGGAAACCTGGGTCTGAATGAACCAGGGCAAGTCTGTTGTCCCTCCACGATGCCCGATGTTTGGATCCGTCGATATGCCACGGTCGAACGTGGTAGAGAGACGTACGTGTCGCTGGCTTGAAGTACTGGGCACCGACCTGCAACCAATCCAAATAAACAGCAGACTCAGAACTAGGTCACGACCAACCATCATGCCCAACTAGTTGAGAGGCTGGTTGGTGCTTCCATCTATATATTATGTATTTGTCCCTTGGGATTGTGCAGCTCTATAACCTTGTGCGAGCCTCCCACTTGAAGTGTTCAATAGGACTTGAAGTGCTAGCACGTCAGCAGGAATCAAATGCAATTCAAGAGAATCACACTGTAGTCAAAATGAAGGCAACCAGAGAGATTCTTGACATTTTACATCATTTTAATTACAAAATATCAACATATATTATATTCTACTGTATATTGAAGTACCTGAAGAGAATACGTATATAATGATTGTGCCAAGGATGCCAAATTGAATCCACTAAGGAAGAACAAGGCCAAAAACAACACCGAACTAGGAGGGGAGGAGGGGTCAATGCAAGATTTTTGCGCCAACAATGCAAATCCACTTCAACACTCCTCCAAATTGTTTAATTACAACATGTTAAGGTTTGAGTCGGTGGGATATGTTCATGGTGTTGATCGTTGTTCACAGCTCCAGGCTTTGAAAAGGGGTGTTCAATTCTGGATCCCTTGCTACATCTTTTGCAGTGAGGTTTTGACCCACTGGGGAACTTTTGGAACAGGACATTAGCTGATGTCCGCTGAAATCGGACACCCGGTCGATAGAAGACCCTGCGACGGGGAGTCAGACATTCATCCAAGACAACCGTCCAACAGTACTGGACCTCGCCCCAGGAAGCCCCGGACAAAGACCGAAGATCTGAACAGGAGTTTTCCCGGTTCCTCGAACACGTCAAGACTGCGAGTTCCTCCAATCGAATCCAAGGCTGCGAGCCTGAGACCCCAGAGGAGCTTCAGGGCACCAGTGACACAGCCTTGGCTTTTGCTATCGTTGGCACTGTGCTTGCAGTGTTGGGCCTTGGCGGTGGTTGGTGCTCGGTGTGCATGGACGACGGGCCGTCTTCGGAAAAACGCTCATACTGCGCCTGCGCAGTGGGATTTCTTTGCTGCTGGCTCGTCGTTGGTCTTCCTCCTTGGATTGTCTTCGCCAACTACCAAGCGCAAATGACATGCGACACGTTGCGCAGCATGCAGCCGGAGCTGTGCTGGAGGGGTACCTGGTGGGGATGGCAGGAGGGTTCGGAGGGTTCAGGCTTCACAGCACTGGAATGCTGCAGGGGTCCGCCCGTGGCAACTGTGACAATGACATCCGTGACCATGACATCTACGACTATGACACTCACCACTCTGCCCGCGATCCCTTACTGCCAATGCGAAGCTGCATCAAGCTCAGCCCTTCAATGCGAGACTGGCGCTGGGCGAAGCTGCATCACCAATTTGACGGATTGGACGGCTTGCTTCTTCGATGGAGGAAGACGACAACGTTTGAACAATTTGAACCCCCAGGGGAACAGCAAGAAACAGCAACGTAGTCCCAAATCGATAGAGAAGGATAATTTCCTTCAAAAGTCTTGGACGTAGTCAATTAGCATATATTATCATATACTAGCTATCTCTCTTCATATGATACGGTCCATACAGTTACTTCTAAAAGATGCTGTATCATCCTGTGTCATTATTGACCATCATTGGCTTCGTGCTCCATGTGCGAAGCTTTCGGTTCAGTGAGGCTTTGAAGAGGGACGCCTGTGTGAAGCGAGTGACGGATGCATCACAAAGCCAGAATTTGTGGCGAACTGTGCGCAATTTGGCAAAGCAGAGTGCAAGGAGCAGAGGGCATGTTACTACCAAGCCCCTAATTTGGTCTATAGAATGGCTTGCAGGAGCCAAGGCGCCAACAATGCAAGCGCAAAAGCCCATGCACTTTGCTCTGAATACAGTAGCAAAATGACGTGCAACGGGCAAACAATTTGTCAATGGACACTTGTTGAGTATGACAATGAGCCTTGCAAGAATGGTGGCGTGCACGTTGGATGCCTTGGCATCACAGAGCAGCTGGATGCTAGATGTGCCATCCATGAAACGTCGTCTTCATGCAAACTGGGGTCTGATCATGACATTTGTGAGTGGAAAGGGCTTTGCCACTGCACGTCAGAGTTTTTCGGCGACAACTGCCTGCAGGAGAGGGTTCAATACGTGAATGGAGGGCTGTGCCTCCAGAGTGCTTCGCGCCCAGCCATTTGCAAAGGCTTGGTGATTGCCGCATCTTCCGAGGATCGGGAATTCTGCAGCCCTGAGCAGGATTGCGAAGTTTGGGACCGGGTGAAGTACATGCTCGGAATCATGTATGAAGCTGAACTTGGGGACATTATCATTGACAGTCTCGCCATATGCTTCTGCCTTGCGGCCCTTTGCTTAAAGCATAAGGGTCAGCGTGGGAAGTACATCCTTTTGGCGACCTTCGTCAGCTTCATGGCAGACATTGCCCTGGAGGTCTTGTTGGCAGACTCTGTTGGAGGGGCCAAGGATGTTGTGGCCGAGTTAGAGGAAGCTGTTTGCATCTCCCCACAAGGCAAACGGGCCCGTCCAAGTCTCTAAAGAACGGCTTGAGGATCCGGTGGCTTCGCTTCAAACCCCCCAGTTGAGCCTGTCAGCTGTAGACAACAAGAGCTGTCAGAAGTTAAGCCTTCAAGGAATCTGAGGGTATCAGAAACCCCGTGCAGATCACTATCCTTTCCAACCTTGAGTCCTGAAAAGTGGATCCAAGCGCCCCGCCCCTCCAGGTGACTTCTACAATTCGCTGGTGATCCTAAAAGATTTGGCAAACACCATCGCAACTCTCGCATGGGTGACCTGGACCTTCGCAGTTTGGTGATTCAGACATGTTGAGTTTTCAGTCTGGACCTTCGGGAAGCCTGACACTTGAAACATGTTGAAACTACCACTTGATCACACCTAAATCACCTGTACCCTTCGCAGCCTTTGCAAGGCATGCATGCGGTGCGCACACACCAAAAAAAAGAGCTCTCTCTTCCCGGGGGGGCCCTGCTTGTATTAATTACGGTGCTCTTGTTGGCTTTTTGTGCTCTTGTTCAGGTGAACGTGGGAATTGCCATTCTTGGTGGCCTCAGCGAGGTCTTGCAGACCTTCATGGATGCATGCGGCAAGAAGGTGCTGGAACGTACTGCAGTTGGCTTGGTGGTGGCAGCATCCGTTTTTGAGCTGGGGCTCGGATGCATTAGCTTTGGGTTCAACACCCTGGAGTTCATCGCCGTGGTGAAAGATATCGAGGTTGCTGCCCTAGGCTTGCAGACCATGGAAGACGACTATGGACACATGTGCTATGTGAGGAATCCCGATTTGACGCCAGCAACTGCGCAGGGTGTGATGTGGATCCAACCTGGTTTGATCATGGTGATGCCTAGTGTGGTGGTTTGTTGCTTCTTCCTGGCTGCAGCAGTGCCCTGGACCCATTCAGCAGTGCCCTGAACCATGTTACAAGGTTAAAGCCTAGGACGCATCATACAGTGGATTCAGAGTAGATGGCACAAAGCCTTAAATGTCGCCAAGATGGGGGTCCATGTATATACATGATCAGCTGAAGATTTGTAATTAGGTACCTGGACCATCCTGTTTGGGTGTCTCATGGAGATCCCAGATAGAAGTGGGCAGTCCAGAGCACATGCTAGTTTTCAGGGCTGAAGCCAGTGTAGCTTAGGCTTTCAGGTTTGAATCTGAGGATAGACGAGGTGTGCAACGTGATCACCCCTGCTCTACTCGCTCCAAAGAACCGCAGAACCGCCTACATTTCACATCACTATAGAATGTTTTTGTATACAGTATATTGCATAATATGTATGATTAATTATACAGATATCTAAATATGTATTTATTTAAAATCATGTTGTGACAAGATCTTGTAAGATGTTAAACGTTATGTATATATGTACTGCCTCACTTTCCACCAAGCACATGCCGAACCAAGCAATTAACCGATGATGGTGCTTTTGCTCAGACATTCCCAAGGTCTACACCTACAGGTGTGCTCCGCCGGATGAACCTGAAGATGAGGCACCTCAAGAGGTGGTGATCACCACACCGCGCACGCCCGGCACGCCGCGCTCCGCGGATGCTCCGGTGCCTCCAGATGTGCCTGATGGAAGTGAAGATTGAATCGTCCAGGCCGAGGCGTGGAAGCTGGAGAAGATCCGAGTGAATGGAGGATCATTTTCCTCAGTGTGACATCAGGGGGGTCAATGTTGAGTCAAGGATCCTTATAAAGCGTTTTATGATGTTTTATGTAAACGATTTTGTATTTATTTTGTGGGTCAGAGTTTAATTATATATAGAAAATATGTAGCGCCCCAGCATTTCATAGAGTTTGAAAGGGGGGTCAGCACGCACCGTTTTATTCTTAGAGACATTTGTTGGACTGAAACCATGAGCCACTCAAATCAAGCAGATATGGGCTGGCCTCATTGGACAGAGCTTTGATTTTGGCTGGCTCAAGCTGAAGTATGTTGGGGACATGGTAAGGTCACAAATAGGGGGTCAACACGTGTGACAATCTCGTAGACTTAAAACAAACCCTCAGCACGCTTGATGTTATACAGCTCTATGGCATGTAGGTGGTCAAATACCTCCATTTGGTATCTATGAAACCCTGATCAAGAACCCCTCCACCGAGCTCTTTCGAGCCGAGTGAAGGGCTGAGATGATCAAGGCCTTTCTTGGCTAAAAAGGCTTCCAGATGGGTTGTGAGATGACTCAGTTGCACACATGTTCGTCTGCACTTTTGTATCTATACTGTAGATAGACTGTAGAATAAATGAAGAAGACCTGCTAGAAGACCTGCTAGGCCCAGGCATTACGTGCGCCTGGGTGTTCCTCCGATCGCAGCGACCCAGGGCGCGCTTCCGCGGAAGCGGCGATGGAACTCGGCCGAGTCGTGAGCAGAATGGCCGAATGGCCCGAAGAACCAGTGGCGGTGGTTGGAAGGTCCCAAGCACCTCCCAGTCGGCGGTGCTTGAGCATATGTGGTGACAGGTTTGAAGATCTGGTCGAAAACATCCCAGTCAGCGGTGTCTTGTTTTTGTTTGTGTTTTTTTTTTTTTATCATCCTTAAACTCCATATAGATCCCAGGGCCCATCTGCACTGGACATGACATGTTGGACTAAACATGTTGGGCAAAAATCAACCAACCACCATCAGCGTCTGAGACGCTCATCTTTCAGACTCAGCTCCCCTTCGCAGGCATGCTTGGAAGGGAGGCGATCATGTTGGAGGTTGCTCGGGCGGCGCATCTCCCCTGCCACGCGTGTTTTTTTGTTTGTTTAAGGTGACCGGTGTTAATGTCGCAAGATGAAGTAAGATCATGGAAGTGAAGAACTTGTTCGGGGCCCACTATTCAGGGTAATGCTGGATGCGTAGTTTGCGGGGGATGTGCATAGAAGTTGCCTTAATTTGACTGGTTTATGTTTATGGGTATGGCTCGAACATGAGCTCTCCCTAACCCCCAGTTGGTCGAGCAAAGACAGATCAACATATATAAATGTTCTGGGGCATTTATTTTGAGCCGCACCCGCGCAGAATCTGTTTGATTCTGGCAATGTTTAGAAAGATGTCTCACTTGTCATGTTCGGGTGCTCCCTTCTGTGCCAAATGGCGGACGGCAGCTCAGGACGGCCAACACGACACACCGCAGAGTCGGACCTAAAAACAACCACGTTGCAACAGCCGACGTCTTAGACGTCTCAGACGTCTCCGCGCGCGGGGTACGCATCAGACGCAGACGACCTCGTGGGTCGTCGGCGGAATCGACGTGGAGTATCGTCGGTGCCCGGGAAGAGCCACGTTTTCCAAGAGGTGGGAGTCCAAAGCACATGAAACCTGGGGGCGGCAGCGCAGGGCGAACATCGGCTTGAAGAATGGTCCTCAAACAGTTCCCTGTCGAGCACGAGTGGATTACATTTGCCATAGCCATGGCCCAATTGGGGCGTGAACGGCCGAGCTGTTCGACACCTTCTTTGGTGGAACCTGACGCCGAGACGGGACGCGCGCGCGACACGCCGCCGGTTGATCACCCCGAGACGACGACACGGTGGACGGCGTGGACGGCGACGTGGCCTCGAAAAGGTTCATCCTCTACAACCGGGGTGTTTTCACTCCACGTAACCATGTGAGTTCCAGGGAGAGTACGTACTTGATTGACTGGGGTGACCAATGGTGACTGACTATGGTCGGCACTACTTGAGGTGGCTGTTGGGTGACTATTGGTTCTGGCACCCCTGGCCTGTTCTCGGGAGTCAGGACTGCCAGTCCCAGACAGGTTGTGTTTGGGACAGCTGAGTTTTGGACGTTTGTCTCCGTAAAGCTTGGCCCGAAGCCCAGTGGCTCCAGAGGAGTCAGCCGCCGTCCATGGGGCAGATCCTGCAACCTGCCTTCTCCGTGACCCGCAGAGCGTCGGGCTATGAAGTGGCCAGCAGCGGGGATGCGATGGAAAATGAGTCCAATTCGACCACAACCTTTTTGCTTCAAAAGGTTTTTCCAAGTAGTTTGTCTATATATATATATATATATGATTTTATTATTTATTTTAATGCATTTCACATGTTGTTTCCCCTTTGTCACCTGTCCCTTGTTGGGTGCTATATATCTATTTATCTTTTAATGCTGCTTTTCTTGGGCGGTTGGGCCTGAGTCTGGCGCATATAGCTTAGGCCTACAATCATATGTTTGTTCGACCCTTCCTCACTTGGAAGCCCAAGACATCTCTCAGCTCCCCAGCACGTCCCCCACTACCGCTGATTGCCAAGAAACATCACCACTACCCCCCCCGCTGATTGCCAAGAGGTCTCCTTGGATGGTTCGGTTTCAATAGAGTGAACCCCCAGCACAGAGTCCAACAGAGTCCAACGGTATATATTCTTAAAACTTAATTTCTGTTGATCATGGGAAGGAAGTTTTGCTTGTGTTAAGTTTGCTTTGCTCAACTGCCTCCCAAACGTTGGCAAATCCGAGGACCACCACCAGCTCTTCGACCACCGTGACGACCACCTTCACGGCGATCACTACAACGGTCACGAGCACTGTGATCGGGTCTCAGAACTGGACTGCAATCCCCTATTGCCTATGCCAATCAGACCGAACGCAGACCTTGCAATGCGAGACAGGAGACTTGAGACTGGTGCTGAGATGAGAAGAACACGCCCAGCGGGTGTTTTCAACTGGGTTGGGGGACATTGGGGGGCTGCTGAGGATCATCATTCTCAAGGTTCTTCAAATCACGAAAGGTAGCTTGAGCTACCTGAGTTCTCCTTGCTTTAGCAAAAATGGATTACAATCAGAAGCTGGGATTGTGCATTGAGTTTGGTCCTGTAAGAGATGATTCTGTTCGTCGGGGGGGGGTGGCCCTGGATCAAATCCCCCCTGCGCCGGTTCACGCCGTCATGGACTTCTACCAGGGTTACTTGTGATTGCCTGCTACCTTTCGTTCACCCCCTCCTCTCTCAAGTTCTTCGATTCTAGCAAGTCAACACATTTGTAAATTAAGCCATTCTGTGAGAGTTTGTATCCAAGACATGTGCTGACACCCTCCTACAAAATGTGCATGGACGTGGAAGATGAATGCATGTGCTAGACGATATGACCCTTTCCACTTTGGTATGTTTGGGAGATGATTGCACAGAGACGGACAGACCCACAAACAAACATAATATAACTAATAAATAACGTATATACGTATACAATACCCAGACACTCCACGTATGTATGGAATATACTTGCATCGAGCCCCGGGTCAACCACCATCATGGTTTAAATATATCAGTCCCATGTAGTGTTTGGGATAGGTAATGCATCATAATGCATCATATGGAGGTCAAGTTCGCCATAGCAACTCGCCTCACAGGAGCTGGGCAAGCTTGTGTCACCAACTTCACCGATCCAAGTGATTGCTTTGAGGAAGGCACCCTGTGTGAGGCCAGTGTCGGATGTGTCACCCGACCCAGCATACAGGCGAACTGTGCTGTCTACACCACGCAAGAGGCCTGTGAGGAGCAAAGAGCGTGCTACTATCGATTTCCAGGCTTGTTGTACAGGAGCGGCTCCGCTTGTCCTGTTCCGGAACATCCGCAGTTCACTGCACTAGGCAAAGCAGTGAACAAAAATCATGAGTAAAGCCTGAAGCTTAACGAACACATACCCCAAGAATCGGATTCCGTTTCGGGGAATGCATCAGTTTTTGGTAGATCTTTTCGATGAGCCCACCTCCTCTGCGGCTGCTCCGGTTGGTCGCAGGATGGCGTGCAGGAGTATGGGTGCCAATGCGAACAACTCCCAGGCCCTTGCAGCTTGCAGCGAATTTAACCACAAGGTCGCCTGCGACAAGCAAGCCATTTGTCACTGGACCATCACTGAATATCATGGGGAGCTTTGCGAGAATGGCGGTGTGCATGTTGGGTGTGGTGGTTTAGCGTCTCAGCTGGATAGCAGATGTGCCATCCATCGAACGTTGTCTTCCTGCCAGGCTGGGAGGATCCAAACTGTGGGTGGTTGGGAGGCTGAACAGCCATGAATCCAAGCGTTTGCTTCTCACTAATTAGTGACAGTACTTTGATCACTGATCACTCAACCCCCTAGATGGATGCTTTTGAGATTCGAGGCTTGAATTTGCGTGTGTATATATAGCATTACTCATCAAGTAATGCCAACAACTGTGCAGACCTGACCAGCGGTGCCTCTTCAGTCTTTGTGGTTTCCAATCTATTCCTCGCTAAACACGTTGGAAGTGTACAAAGGTCCAGGGGCCATCTACCAGACCATGTTATGGGATGTTATGCGAGTCGAACTGAGTGGAACTTTTGGGTGCACGGTTTGAGCAAGGTAAATGTGGCTGCCTCAAAATCCTACTATGACCAGGCATGTTCATTTGTGTCCGTCGTTTGTTTTCGTATGGTTTAGTCAGCTGAAGTCCAAGGGTCGACTGGATGGGGCCAGGTCGAGCCTGACATTTGCACGTGGAAAGGGCTTTGCACTTGTACGCCCGAGTTCTTTGGCGACACATGCGAGAAAGAGCGAGTTCCGTTTCAGCCCGGCGGAGTCTGTGTGGAGACTTGGAGATGGCCAGATGGCACCGGTTTGGGCCGTTCTGTTACTTGTTTTTTTGGAGTGTCAGACATATACTGTAGTATATATATATATGATCATATATTACATTTGCACCGGGTGCGGTGTAGATACATGTATATTGTATATATATATATATACTATTGCATAATTACCGCTACATACACCCACACAGGAAAAGGCCTTGAAGGCTCTTTTTGCTTGGGTAATTTTGTCAACTGAGGAGAGCATCACGCAGCCGGCTATTTGCAAAGGCTTGGTCATCGCGGCATCAGTCCAAGATCGGGACTTTTGCAGCCCTGGGCAAGACTGCACTGCTTGGGATGAGTTGACTGCTAGGGCTTCCGGAGATGGCTTTAGCAGTTGTTTTACTGAACATGACGCAAACATGGCTTCAGCAGTTGGCTTTAGCAGTTTCAGGGGAGGAAAGAAAGACCTCAGGGAGATAGTTGTTCTACCCTCCCTGGAACTAACATGGAAGTGGAAAACCACCTGGTTGTAGAGGACAATGGTCTTCCAAGGGGCCATGTTCCGCTTCCATGTTAGTTCCAGGGAGTGTATGACTTCTTGCTACTAGTAGCGATGGCCTCCACCCTAGTAGCGATGGCCTCGAACCGACTAGCTTCTTTCATTTTCTTGCTACTAGTAGCGATGCCCTTTGTTACTAGTAGCTTCTTGTTCCTAATGTTAGTAGCGGTGGCCTCCACCCTACTATAGCTAGTAGCGATGGCCTCCAACACACTAGTTTCTTGCTACTAGTAACGATGCCCTTTGTTACTAGTAGCTTCTTGTTCCTAGTTGCGATGGCCTCCAGCCTAGTAGCGATGGCCTCCAACCTAGCTTCTTGCTATTGGTAGCGATGCCCTGTGTTACTACTACTAGTAGCTTCCGAACTCATCCGGAACCTATAGATTCTATAATATAGGCCATGACGGCCTCAGGTCAAGGAACAAACGTTTTGGGGGGCACAAGATTTCTTCTCAGCTTGGTCCTCCCGGCCACGAAAAACAACCTGAAGACTGAGCTGACCGCTTTGAGGCTGGTCTCATGTATGAGGCAGAGCTTGGCCACACACTGGTGGATGCCATTGCCATCCTGTTCTGCTTTTGGGCGGTCTTCTCAAAACGGAAGGCTGGAAGAGCTGGGATTGCCGTCGCATGTTTGATGGTGAACAGTTTTTCTGAATGGGATTTTTACTTCATCTATTAAAAGTTATTAAACATGCGCATTGTGTATTTGGTCAGTCGGACGATTGAAGGGTGTTTTGAAATTCGGAGCTGCCTTCCCACCAATGTGTGACAGAGTTCTTTGTGCTACCTCCGCCTCGTCATGTCTTTGTAGAAGCACGGCATTTGTCGCATGTGCCAGGCAGCCTCTAGTAAAGCCTCTAATCACCGGTGTACGGGGCCTCTCATCGGACCTTGCCCAGGTCACCTCTTCACCAAAGCCTTGTGGAGAATACTTTGTTTTTCTCAAGCCTTCAGAACACGGTGTGACTCGGGTGACACGTGAATCATATCCTTTGCGTGGAAGTTGGTTTTTAGGAATTGATTGCTTTTGAGGGTTGAATCGTCTCACCATTGCTCCCAACAGAGCGGGAAGTTCTTTCATGTTCTTTCCACATTTGTACACCAATTCGCACACAGATATTGATGTAGACGACTATCTAGTGATGCAAACATCACAAGAAGAACCCCACTCAGAAAAGAGGCTTCCCAAAACAACAAGGCCCAACTTTGGCAGAAACCTCTCCAGGCTGGCTGCCGCAACATCCTTCGTGCCACCTTATTGAGCTTCACAGCAGACGTGGCACTCGAGGCCCTTCTGGCCGACACAGCGCTGGGGGCCAAAGCTGCGGCACTGGAGTTGAGGGATGCCTTTTGCGTGTCAGGCCGGCAGCTGTGTTCGCTGCGTTGGGATGTCAATTGGAAGATTTGTTTCAGTATAAGTAGAATATATATATATATACACCAGCCAACATACATACATATATATATTATATGTATATGTTTGAATATATATATATAGATGAGAAAACATGTGACACACACACACACCCATACACATGTACCATTATTACTGTATGTAGTGTATCGTCAGTTGAGTTTCAATCATTGAAGTTGTGTATTGCTTTTGTCGACTTTTGTTCATTCAACGAATGAAGTAGCTTAATTACACATTGTCATACAAACTATGGAGTTCCTGGTCGCGAAGTTGAGATACAGTTGTAAGATCTTAAGATACATATGTCGTTTTTGAAGTGATTGTTTGGCAACATGGTTTGGAGTTTGATGATCTTGAACCCCTACCTGCTGCCTGGGGAACCGTTTCGCTCTTTATGGGGTCCCGCGAAGATCGGATCAAGCCTCGGAAGGTCCAAGAAGATCCCAAAG